TGTAGATATAGTGATAGTAAAATAGACAGTATAAATATGAATAACAGTAAAACATATAACATGAATATTAGCAATACTAGTCATAAGTATAGTATTTCTTATAATTATTATTATAATAGGCTGCATATCTTAATTTATACCTTTTAGATCATTCTACTGTATTTAGAGTAATACAAAAAGACTAATCTAAATTTTATCTATTATTTCCTTGTGCTTATTATTGTTTTATTTCTTTGAGTTATAATCATAACATTTTTTCTAGTAATAGTAATAGGTAATTACTGTAGTATTTTTCAAATTATTCATTTAATTAAAATAAAATACAGTGTAATAAAACTGTTGATCTTATTTATTAATTATTTTTCTAGTCATGTTTGTGATAATAGCTCTTCTTTTAACAATAGGTTATCTAGATCTTTTATACTAATTTGAGTACTGCAAAGTGAAAATCTAGAAACAAATCTTTAAGTTTATTACTGTAGCAGACTTAGCACAGTAGCATAATATAATAATACTAAGTCTGCTATAGTAATAAACTTAAAGATTTGTTTTTAGATTTTTACTTTAAATACTTATTTAATCTAAGAGAAAAAAAGATAAAAACAATTAATCTGACCTGATTTTATTTCTTATTTCTAATTGTGATATGTCTCCCAATTATAGCAATAGGTAATTAGTACTTTTTAGATTATTTATTTATTGCTGTAAATTTAGTTTAAAAAGAAATTGTAAAGGCATTTACTAATCTAACTTTGTTTTTTATTTATTAGCTCTTGTAACTATAGTCTTAACCTTAATATACTTCTTGAAAATAGTAATAGCAATAGGTAAATTAAATTAGTTAAAAAAAACATATACTGTAAAAGACTTAATTAACTTTCTTATTTTCTAGTTCTGGTCATAGTCATAATATGTCTTCTAAAAATAAGAATAGCAATAAATAATTAATACTTTCTAATTATCTATTTTAATTTAATTAGAAAGAAAGTTGTAAAGACATTTACTAATCTAACTTAGTTTCTTATTTATTAACTCTAGTCATAACCATGATCATAGGTTTAGTACATTTTCTAAAAATAATGATAGCAATAGGTGATTAATACTTTCTAAATTACATTATTTAAATTTAGTTAAAAAAATTTATACTATAAAAGGCATTTACTAAACTTTCATATTTTCTAGTCTTGGTTATAGCTATAATATGTCATCTGCAAATTATAGTAGTTATAGGTGAATTAATATTTTCTATACTTTCTAGATTACAGTATTTCAATTAAATTTAGTCAAAAAAAAATTATACAATAATAAGCATTTACTAAACTATGTTCTTATCTAGTAGTAATAGTAACTCTGGTCATATCTGTAAGTATAGCTATGGTTATAACCATGGTCATAGCTGTAATCATAGCTATAGTTGTAGCTATGATTGTAGCTGTGAGACTTTTTCTGAAAATATTAGGTAATTAATACTTCTAAGATTATTTTAGTCTAAAAAAAGTATATAAAGTATTTATGTATCTAATTTTATTTTCTATATGCTAGTTTCAGTAATAACTATGATATGTCTTCTGATAATAATGCTAGCAATAGGTAATTAGTATTTTTTGTTCATTTTAATTTAATCTGAAAAAAGTATAATGATATTTACTAAATTAATGTTATTTCTTATTTTTTAGTAATAAACATAAACATGGTTTTTCTAATAATAATAATAACAGCAGGTAATTAATAAGTGCAACAATATTATATGTTGTATACTAGAAGAAAAACTAGAAGGTGAATATTTAGTTATTACTAATATAATAATATAGGTTTGCTGCAGTAATAACTTAAATATTTATTTTGGTTTTTCTTTTGCAACACTCATTTATGGGTATAGGATATGTTAAATTAAGTCTAAGAGAATATCTAAATATTAATTACTGTATAAATTATCATATAAATTAGTATATATTTAATTATAAATTATTTTTTTATCTATAGCAATCATAAAAAAAAAAGAAAAAAAAATATTGCCTTAAACTTAACCAATATTATCATTCACTATTTGCTACCTTATACAACTGTGCATCTTCAAGCTATGGATGCTAGTATTATTAATAATTTTAAAGTACAGTATAATAAATAATTATTTATTTTTATATTATCTTTTTATAATCTAATTTGATATTAGTAATTATATAATATAAATATAAACAATTATATATATAAGAGTTAATTAGAAGATTTGACCAAAATAAAAAAAATAAGTTTAATCAATTAAATTATTACAGTTTACAAATTTTTGCAAATTAAAAAATAAAAAAAAAATTAATGATTTTTGATTTCTTTATCATTTTTTTAGACTTTAGATTAGACTTTTAGATTTGACTTAATATTATTAAAATCTAAAATAAAGATCTAAAAGTCTAAAAAAATCTGAAATTAGAAATCAGAAATCATCAATTTCTTTTTTTTTGATCTGCAAATTTTATATAATTTTGCAAATTGTAATAAATAATTGTTACAATACTTAAATATTATATTATAATAATCATTTTTATAATTTATTTATAGCAAATTAAATGTTTTGGAAGCAATTAAATTTATTGAAGATGCATAGAATACTATTATACAACAAACTATTTATAATTGTTAGAAAAAAACAGGTATTTTATCTAATTCTAACTTATCAACTATCAAAATAGTAATCAAAGAATAACAAAATTTAGAAAACAATAATTTAGAAGATTTGTAGCAAATTTTAGAATTAGAAACTGCTAATAGTATTAGTGAACTTGGTACTTATATTAATGATAATGAAATTATACTAATAGAAGAAATGTTAAATGATAAACAAATTATTAATTTTGTAATACAATCTGTAAAATTTGAGAATAGTTTAAGTAATAAAGAACTAGATTTAATAAATCATAAAGAAGAATTAAATATTTTAATTACTTTTATTGATTACTTTAAACAACAAACAGATGCAGATTTTAAAATTGAAGATTTGAATATTTTTAAAAAATATAATAATATTATTAAAAAAAAATATTTAACAAATATAAAGTAAAAAACTTTAAAAAATTTTCTTTAAAATTATAATTTTATAATAAAAATAAATTTTTTAGTAATATTGTTTTAAAATTATTATTATTATATTATTATTATTATTTTTTTTTTTATTATCATATTCTTATTATAATCATATATTTTTATAATTCCAAGAATGTGATTATAATTAGAATTGATTTTATATCTCAATATATTTTGATTTTTCTAAATTAAATGCTTTTTTGATCTATTTCATATAATTGATTGACTCACATGTTTGTTGTATTTCTTATTTGTCATATTTAAACAAGCATGTAATTATAAAAAGAAGTAATGTATAATATTGATCTTTTAATAAGAATGAGTCAAATTTCCACTTTTTTAAAAAAAAAAAAAAAAAAAACTGAAAAAGAAGTATATTGTTGTTACAAGAATTCAAGTTAAATAAAATTTTTCTAGTTGTTTTTTTTTTCTTCTATTTTTAATATTCTTAACCAAAGAACTAATTTTATCTTTACTTGCTTCCAAAATATCCTTTCAGTTTAGATGCTGAATATGTGAGAAAATTCATTAGACAAAAAACTTAACCCAAGACAAGAATTATTCAAGTTTTACCTACTTCTCATTATATTATATATTTGAGCTTTGTTGATAACAAGTTTATTTAATATAAAACCAAGAATATTATTTACTTTAAAATCACAGTCTTCAATCTACTTTCAATACTAATTTGATCTAGATGATTATTGAAAAAAATTGTTCTCTCTTCTGATATATTAAAACTAAAAATAATTTTCTTTATATATAAAATTTTTTAAACTTTATATATAAAGAAAATTATTTTTTAGTTTTAAAATGTCAGAAATGATGATACTACTCATACAATACAATAATAAACAATTATAGTTTAACATAAATTGTGAATGCTACCTTTTAAAATTTTAAATCCAATAACTAGTAAGTATAAATATCATGTCCTGTAATAACTTGTAATTCGACTAGGTAACACAAGAACATAAAAATGAGTATTGACCAAAAGCTCTTTGCGAGTAGTTTTGCTAACAATAATGCTATATATAAGCCTATATTATGATTTCTACAAGTTGCTCAATTTAGATCAAAAATTTGCAGGCAAATTTGCCTGCAAATCGGTAAAAGAAATATATAAAAAATTGATATAACATGCTTTGACTATAATTGAATTTATTTACTAATCTGAATTTATAAACCAAATTAACACAGATGAATAATTTAACAAAAGTTATAAAAGATTATAGAATTCTAAAACAAACTTTTCAACTAATATAAATTTAAAATTTCATATTCATTATGTTCAGGGACCGTTATAAAGAAGTTCGTTATAGTAAGCTTTGGGTTTATAAACGAATCTGTATTCATGAACCAAATTGACAAATAAATGAATAATTCGATAGAGACTATAAAATTTTGAAATATACTTACGAGTTAAATAACGAAGTTAACCAGTCCGCCCAAATACAGATCATTTTTGTTATAGTGAACTCTTGACATAATAAGAGGTTTGAATTATAGGATTATTAAATTTCAACTGCATATTTTTTTCTAGCCTGCGGATTTCATTATAATGCAAGTCGTCTACATATAAGGCTACCTTTATTTCGTGTCGCAAATATGAATAATAAACAAATAAAAAAGGAAGTACATATTTAAAAAATTTATATAGGAACATAGTAAATTACTTTTATAAAGAACTTTTGAAAGCTATACTATAAAACCAATAGTTCATTCTAGAAAGCTAACTAAGTTCTTTATATAGTAGGCAAGGTTTGACGTAAAGAGGTTGTAAGATCACGTGACTAAGACCTCGATTAATGGTATCTTGCAATACTCCCGGGCTGATCCGGGATCAAATGGTTGATCATTCACGTATTTCAACAACATTTGGATTTTTTATTTTACGCGAACGCGGAAAACGAATTTAGAAAATGTCTTATGATGATAATGAAAACCTTCCGTCACCCACCAAGGAATTACGAGATGTTCCATTTTCTAGGTAATTCTATAAGAACTATAGTGAGGCTATCGAGAAAGTATTTGGTGAAACTAAAAAATACGGTATTATTTATAGGGTGTCAAAAACTATTGTAAAAGTGCCAGAGCTCATTGATTCAGGCACGTTAATTTAAATTACAAGGATACTATTATTTGCTTAACTTTTAATTGCCTTTTATTTTTTTTAATATAGATGAAAGGTTGTCCATACCCACCCGATATCGTTCTGATGTTTTTAGCGTGGATGAGCTTGGTAGTTCTCCAATTATCAGAGACAAAAAACCCGAAAATAGTGTGAAAAAAGAAAATACAAGCAAACTTAATGAAAAATATGCTATGATGCAGGTAATTGAGATATTTCAATTAAGTACATAAAAAAAATAATTGGATATAAGACACTTCACTTATATATATACATATATATGATAAAAGCAAAAGATGACACAAATGGCACAGAATAATGAAACGCCATTAGTGTCCAAAGTGGAAACTCCCACAACATCAAATCGTCGATATACAAAAATACTTGATGATGAATCAGGAGCAAATCCCTTTTACATACCTTCGAGCGCTCATAAGGACACTCGAGGAAACTTGTTGTTCAAACGGCCTGAAGGAAATCGAGAAGAAATTGGTCAGGGTAATGCATCTGAACAGGAATTTTCCCTTCGAAGAACGGTGATTGAATCGTTAGAGTGCCGTCAGAATCAAACTTTCAGTAATGAGGTATTTAGTTTCGAGACAGATATTAGGTTTTATCATTTGTCACGCATGTACAAATAACTTCATAATTATATTGATTAGGGAGAACCTTCTAACTTTCCGCCTAGAGTTTTTCCACATGAATCTACAATGACCAGGCCACAAAACGTTTCAACACCGAATTTTCGTCGCGATGGGCAAACATTTTATCCAGAAACTCCTCGTTGGAAATCGGCGCCCCGACCTAAAACATCACATGCATCCCCTTTTGTTACCCCACCGCATCGTAGGCAGCAAAAGTCTTTTCCAAATACCATGAGAAAACACGCGACTAGGTTTACATCAGTGTGGCCTCCTAAATTATTGTCGTCATCATCTTTAACAGAAGACCAAGATGATGAGGAAAAACTAGACGAATTGCTCGGGCCTGCACCGGTATCTCCATCGCCGAGGGTGCCCAGAAAACGAGCTTACAGTGAAATCGATCATATTTCTAATTTAA